CTAAGTGCGCGTTAACATTTTGATTGCTTGAAATATAGTTATGAACGTTATAAAAGTTAAATCGTTTCATAAAGTTCCCGACTCGAAAAAACAATGAGGAACAAAACTTGACTATTATTATAGAATTATATAACAGAAATGACCAAATACAGGAGAGTAAACCTAAAATGCATTGGGGTAAATTCATTACAAGTTAGATACCATTTTAAAAAGAGCTATACAGTTTCATACGCTATTTTACAGTAGGTACCTAATAAATGTTTACAGTTAAGTAATTATTTAGTATTGTCACTTATGTAAAAATGTAAGTCCAAGAAAATTTCATATGTATTTTGTTTCTATAAAATAATTGTTTAGTTAATATCGAACATGTGATTTTTATTTATATTTATATGTTTTGTACACTATTCTATTTATTATTTTGTTTTTTATTTTTTTTAATATCAAAAAGATTCCTAGACCTAACTGATTTTAAACTCGTGTGATGGACTGAATAATACACTTTGATACATAATATATATTTTTCTGAAAAATGTATAATAATAATTCATTTTAGAGCACGCACAATTTATGTTTTGTCACAAAGTATGATATTATTGATACACATTGGCCAATCCTGGTATTCGTGGATGTGTATATATGTGTGTGTATATACATACATATATATACACACACGCTCATTAATCGTATTCCGTTCGAAACGATAAACACGATGATACACGAGTTTCACTGAAAACACATATATTGGATTTAACCCTTTCAGTATCAATAATACAAGTCTGAGTTGTGAAGAAAATTGCCTTTGGGCTGGACCATCTACACGCAATATTGTATAGGTTTTTATTTTGTTTCAACTTTACGATTACATTCACGAGGAACTGAAAATTTGAATATAAGTATACATATATATTATACATATATTATACATTAATAAAATCGAAATACTGGTGTATTTTAAAATGCATTAGAATTCCAATAGTTGGAAGTTTGAGAGGAATAAATACTATTTGAGTGGTCTATAATCCATCTGTAATTGTGAACTGGGACCTCCCAAGTTCTAAATCAAAATATGTAATCGATACTGCATATGACCCTAGAACAATATATTGTAATAACACAGAGCTACGTTAACGGAAACATATTAATACAACCTCCTAGCTTCTAATATTACAATACACGTATACGATTTCGTAATACCAGTGCGTACATCGGATTTAACCCTTTCAATACCACTATAATGTATAATACAAAGAAAATTATCCTTCGTCACACAGACTCAAATTGTTGTAAATATATGCATTTTTTTCAATAATAAACATAAAATTATATAGTTAATTTTACTAAAAATTCACAGCAATTAAACAGAAAAATTTACTTAATCATGAACGATATTACTACTTATAAAATAAAGGGTTATCGGTTAAATTTATAAACAATTACATTTTTTTTTTCTTACAAAATTTGATCCATCAAATAGTGGTATAAATAGTGATAAATAGTGACTATTCCTAAATTATATATCTATATAATATTTGAAAGGAACGCATTTGTTTTAGTGGTAAATAAAAATATAGTGCACATCATATAACTAAAGATTGAATAACATTATTAGTAGCATTAAATGAATGTGCCATAAATCTAATGAAGGTAATTTTTTCTACGAATATATATGTATATATAGTTTTTAATCTATTAAATTATTTAAATCTTATAGCAATAAAAACTGAAGAGATTGCTAAGTAATTTTATCCGATATAATTTAGGTAAAAACAGATAATAATTTTTTTTATTTATTAGAAAAATAATAATTATAATCTATATTTCGTATATATAATTTTGCACAAAAATTATTATTTTTATAACATTTAGAGCTGGTAATTATAGAGTTGAAAAGTACTCAATAATACCACCTAACAGATTATGTATGTTATACGGTTACTATGCAAGACCATTTTAATCTTCTTAAAGGATTGTTGGGAATTACACGATAAGAGAATCGATTTACTATTGGATTTTTATGATAAATTGACATTGAATAGAACGAGAGGAAGTGATCAATTAATTTATTGATGAGATTTTTAAGTGGTTGTGAAGTTTGGCATTTTTGATATACCAAAAAGCAGAGATAGTTTGACGGAGACATATGGACTAGAATGTTTGGATAGTTCTCAAGTTTGGGGGTATTTCGGAAACCCATAACTGGATATCATATGATCACACTTAAAATAACTTTGTGAACTAAAAATTCATTGCTGGTATTACATTTTGAACGAAGAAGTAGGCAAAGCAAATGTAATCTGAAGTTACTTATGTTTTTAAGATGGAATAATGTTTTAATTGTTTTTAATTAATGTTTTTAAACACAGGTTAGTCGTTTATCGAATATGAAACTCAAGTATTTGATTATAGAGTTTGTTGGAGTTATGTTATTGATTAATGAGACCGAAGGACAATCTCTCGGTCTTAATTTAAAAGTGATATAAGATAATTTGGAATAATTTATTTTTAATATATAACATTTAGGCCCGAGCTGGATCATATTTATATGGTTTTTAAATATATCAGATACTGTTTGGGGGTTGTTGTGTGCGGCCAGAATTATTGTGTCATCTGCATAGGTATCTAATAATACGAAGAACGATTTTGGAGTGTCATGTATAAATATAGAATAAAGAAAAGGTGCTATTTCACTAACTTGATTGACAAGTACAGTGATATATTCCAAGTAGCTATTGCTCAATTTAACTGAAAATGTTCAATTTTCAAGGTAGGCCTTAACAATAAAGTAATATGGGGTATGGAGAAATTTTTTAAGTTTGTAAAGAAGACCGTCGCAACATACTCTATCGAAATCTGGGTTATATTATAGGATAACTACGCAATATTACTTAGATTCCATACTTGTGGAGATTAAGTCAACAGTAAGAAGGAATTGGTGGGTGGGTAGTTGAGATTTGGCATTAAATCCGAATTTGTGATTGGGAATCATGTTTGATTTGTCTGACAGTGGTAGTAATCTTTTAAGCAAAATTTTCCAAAGATTTTTGAGAAAGTAGGAATAAGACTAATTGGTCTATAAGACGAAGGATGTTCGCGTGGCTTACTCGGCTTTAAGAAAAGGGATTATATTTAAATGCTTCCAATCTCCTAGGAAATATGATAATCGGAGTAGAGAATTATGAATAAGCGAGAGATATATAATAGATTTATTTGAGAGATTTTAATGATAAGGTTACTAATCAAGTCATGATCTTGAACTTTTTTACAATGTACGAGTTATTTGATAAGAATAGTATGTTTAACCGAGAGAGTTGTAAGAAGAAGAGATTCCAGTGATTGTTCAATAAATTGGAGTTGAGATTTATTTGGACCGAATGTAGTGTGGTTTGGAAACGCTAATGAGGTGGTTAGTAAAGACGTTGACCTTTTCGGTATCAGTAGTGGCTCATGAATTATTGAGTTTCTGAACAAAAAAAAGTGTTTTTTGTGGTTTATTAATTTTTTTGTAGCCTTTCGTAAAATATAAACATATATATTTTATAATACAATAAAATCATATTCCTTTTTAGAAATCGCAAAATGTAAGTTGCATTAACTATAATTTTTTGTATTATGTAAATTGAGAAATAAGTATTTGTTATAATGATGATTATAATAAATTTCATGTGAAACAGCAAAAAAATATAAAATAAAAATAGTATGACTGTGTTTCTCATTAAGCTGCGTTGAATTTAATTCCAAATTTAAAACAAATAATTCATTGCATATAAGATTGTATAATTCATTCTTGAACTTCGTCTTTATTATAGTTACGATCGAATCTCATTTTTTAAGTTTATAGTGATTTCATCGTTTTATCTACTTCAAAATACATGTACCCATATTGTATAATATAGTTATTGATGAAATAGTTGAAGGGTTCATTGTAGTTAACGGATATCTCTATTATGTATCGAAATGTTTTTACATTTACCAATGAAGAAAAATGTTGTCCACCTTTAAGTATAATAATAATGATGTAATATTGTTCGCTGGAAAAGCTAATATCGTATAGATGAAGATATCTGATTTGTAGAATTCAGTGCAATAACAAGATTATATATTTTTAAGCCTCCAGAAAAACTGCGAAACATAGAACTACTTGGTTATTTCCCCGAAGTATTCAATTAACTCTGAATAAATAGTGGTGTCTTAGCTGGAAAATCTGGTGTGAGGAAAATCAGGTTACATACATGGCGATAGATAGGACTGAGAATGTAATGGCCTGTAAAATAACTTAAAAAAATAATTTTATTTTGTAAAGATTTTAAATATTTTAAATTCTAAACGTAGTAAAAAATGTTATTTTCTAAACTTTTAGGTGTAAATCATATTTTGTAAAATTGATTGCGTTTCAACATTAAAATCGTTCGATAATACAATACGAGTACCTCAGTGGCGTATATAGGGGGGGCCTAGTGTGCCACAACCCCCCCTCCCGAAATGTTTTAAAAAAATTAAAAATTATTTTATACGTGTGTTATATTTTAAAGATGCTTTATGATTATTTAGAATTTGCGTCCAACGTCAAATCTTTTTGGAACATTCTGTAAATGAAATTTAGATAAGTACCTACTGTTTCTTGTTAGTAATTCTAAGACAGTAGTGGTAATTTAACTCTGTCCATAGTAGCCCCTCCCGAAAATATTTTCTCTATACGCCACTGGATTACCTACTACTTAACTGGTGGTGGATTGTGTGATGTTTTAATAAAAATCATGTAGACAAGCATGTAAAAATCTTAAAATTTAATATCGTCTTTGAATTTTTAAACTTAAAATTAAGCATTAAAATCTGTCAAAAGCTCTGATAAATAAATGAATAAGAAATCAAAAAAAAAATCTTAAACAAATAAATCTAATAGATAAATGTAATACATAAATTTTGGCGCTCTTATTACAATATTATATACGCGTAACCCTACCGAAAACCGGCTGTAATGCGCGTTTTGTCGTTTCCAGGGCGAAATGCATAATAGTTGTTGCGTGTGGATTGTCGTGATCGCTGCAGCGGTATGCACGGACGCAGTGGTGGGCGCCGATGACAAGATGAACGGCATTAAGAGCCAACAGGAACAACAGCAACAGCAGTCGGACATGATGCGGGCGATGGCCAACGGCGGTAGTGGACGCCAATCGGGCTTGCAGTCAGTGGCGGCGGCCGACGGTGGCTACTTCGCCGACCCGCTAGGCTATCTGGCCAAGCGCGCGCACAACAAGCAGTACGGTTTCGGGCTGGGCAAGCGGCTGTACCGGCAGTACGAGTTCGGGCTGGGCAAACGGTCGGCGTCCAAGCAGTACGGCTTCGGACTGGGCAAACGGGCCGCCCTCAAGCAGTACGAGTTCGGGTTGGGCAAGCGGGCATCGCCGACGTTCTACAGCTTTGGTCTGGGCCGGCGCGCGTTGCCGCAGTACAGCTTCGGACTCGGGAAAAGAGTGAGCGCACGATATTTACCCGATAGGGACGAAACGCACCCGGGGTCCAGCGGCGATGTTCAAGTGCAATTATTCTAGGATGGTCAGATAATTTAATTAAAAGAAACCCCAGACAATAAATTCGAACTTAGCCTAATCGTCCTATTTAACCATAACTACTTAATTTTTTTATGTTAAAATTTTTTACTGGTGGGTTTTTTCATCATTACGAAATTTTAAATACAGTATACATATTTTTCTACTTCAAAACGACATAGTGACAGGTCACATTTTTTAACCTTTATCTTCAACTGTCATCGTGTATTTTTGCGTGTTGTGGACGTTCTTCAGAAACGAGTGATTTTTTTATAATTTCCTCGTAAAATTCCATGCAACTTAATCAAAACATATGGTTTAAGTTGCATGGAATTTTACGAGGAAATTACGAGATAAAAATCACTCGTTTCTGAAGAACGTCCACAACACGCAAAAATACACGATGACAGCTGAAGATAAAGGTTAAACAATTTTACCTGTCACTATGTCGTTTTGAAGTACAAAAATATGTATACTGTATTTAAAATGTCGTAATGATGAAACCCACCAGTAAAAAATTTTAACATAAAAATATTAAGCAGTTATTAAGAAAGTTATTTGATTAACCATATGTTTTGATAATCAAATAACTTTCTACAGTTGTTACATTCACGAACGTCGATCCAAGTGGAAGCCATTAATGAAAACACTCGTTCTATTGATGTATTTTAATCCGGTGATAATAATAATAATAATAATAATTGAAAAAATAAGTTAAATTCCGAGACATTATTATGTTGATAGCTAAACCCCGTAACAACGCCTTGTCCCAAAAAAGTTTTTTATGGGCATAGGGACATGAATTCCTAAGCCGGTAACGTCCCAGAAAATCCGGGACGAATGACCACCTTAAATTATTCCAAAGGCATATCAGATCCCGTCGCGTTCAGTTCATTTATTTAAAAAAAATTGTTTTAATGATTTCGTGTTGAGCTAATTATTTTTACGGGGATCAAAAGTAATTAAAAGAGAACATTTAATCATTTTTTGATTAATGTTTCAATTAAATATTTCGCGGTCATCATTTAACTGTATCTTAATCATTCATACTTTTGAAAATAAAACGAATTAATAGTTAATTTAATCATACCCCTTCTGAAATATAATGATAATTAATGTTGGTTAGAGTTTCATTTATTACAGTTAATAACGCTTGAATGAAACCAGGAAGTAAAATATCAAAATACTAAAATTACATTAATTTATTCGAATTCATATATATTTAAATTTATTTACCTCTATTCTGTAAGAATCATAAAAAAGAAAGCTATTTATTGGTCTATACGTTGAAAATAAATTAAAAGTGTTAATATAGTCAGTGTGAAAAATTTGTAAGATTAACATTTTAACAATGATTAATACCAGGGCTTAAAACCAGTAAAAAACCGTAAATTTGAGAACCGAAAACCGATAACCGCTTTTAGTTTTGGAGAGCTAGAAGCGATTATTGGTTATTGGTAATCAAGGTTAATATCTAAATATTAACATCAAAGCGATAACTTCGTATTTTCAATCCCGATTTTATAACCAAAACCTATTCTCGATCAAAATAACTAACGGTTTTTTCGTGTTATTAATACTTAATAATGTCATGATTACATTATACTATTATTATTATAGTTGAATTCAATTTTCCAGCTATTTTTAAATATTTTTCCCCAATTAATGGCCGTCGAGTATTGCTTATATATATATATGTTACCAGAAAAGATGAAAATTCAGGAATTGTCAGTATATCCTAGTCATTGTTGACAATGATTGGAAAGGTTAGGCAATGTTGGATATTTCGTAGTTTTATCAACATTTTCGTATTATATTAGGCAATGTTATAAATCCGCATTTAAACAAATATCAACACTGCTTTATTGGTGATCGATCTGATTATGGAACATTCAAGTCTTCATGAAATATATATTAATTTTAAATGACGAACATTTTTTTAAATTTTTTGTGGTGTTACGAACGGAGCCCTAGGCAAACCATTGCGGAGTACCAAAGGCTTCGTGGAGCACAGTTTGGATACCGCTGTACAGGATTATATAATTCCAAGTGTCATAATAATTTACCACGTAACAATAAAGATTAATATTATGATTTATTCTAAATAGCTAATAACTTATTAGTAATAAGTATTAAAATATATTAAATTAATTTTTAATGTTATTATCAATGCCTTCTTTTATTAGGAATTGTTATCAATGACTAGGTATTGACATTAATTCCTTACTAAATCAGGCATTATTGTTATTGGCTAGTCATTGTCAACACGGACTGATTGTCATCTTTTCCGGTAACATATATATATATATATACATATGATATTCGCAAAAGATAAGCAACAAAAGATAAGCAATACTCGACAGCCATTAATATATATATTAAATATATAGATTATAGATATCGTCATAAACGTCGTCGTCGTGGCGTGTTGATTCCTATTACGAATTAATAGGTAGCTTATTATTTATATTTTAATATTGTTGTTTTAATATCTGCTCATCCAGGTTTTGAGGTACTGTATTATATACAATATAACCAAAAATTCCTGTGGCAATGTATCAATCTTAGTGTTATCTTAGAAAATAATTATATTTAATTTCGGTTTTTTACCGTTATGAATAAGAAAATTATAACAATAAAATTTTTTTATGCAATTTAGTTTTTTGGTTATCATTATCTTGAACATAATATGTTTTAAATTTTAAAGCAGTTTGAAAAAATAAATATTGAAATTGAGTAAAATCAATCAAATTAAAGCATATTAAGTTTTTGATTTTGTAATAATAAAATTTACATTATCAATCCACGAATCGCCTAAATAAACTGTTTTAAAAATATGATAAAAAATTGAAAAATATGATTTTTAAAAACCGGTAACCGATTACCAAAAAACCTTATCATCGGCTTTTAAACGATTAACGGTTATTGTAGTATTTGAAATATCCTTAAAAAAATGGTTACCGGTTACCATAATATTAAAATTAAACGATAACCGATTACTGGTCTTAAAAAATTTTCAGCTCCTACCGGAGCCGATTACCAACTTTATTGGGAATGGTTTTAAGCCCTGATTAATACTTAAAGATATTAATTAGATATTCTGCTGGTAAGAACTAAGTTAATTTTCACGATTGATCTTTATATATACATACATATTACTTAAATAACAAAGCGAAATTAGTAGAAATAAAGATTTCCAAAAGAAAATAGCGTCAAGATTGTTGACCTTTCCAATCAGATATACATGACGAATTTTTATAAGAACTCGATTCGAATAAGATTTCATTTTTTCTCTCCATACCTATTGAATGAAATATAATAATGATTTTAAAAATTGAAGCTACACCCGCTGATTGTAAAACCTTACTTTTTATTCGATAGGATAAGATTTAACCAGTGCTAAGATTTAAAAATGAACAAAATAAACTTTAAATTACTCTTTTAATGGATTGTTTTGGAATTATTACAATGGACGGCATAAACATACTAAGTTATATCCCAACTGCGGATGTATGACCTCATGTTAAACATTTCAATTTTTGAACACAATAAAAAACCAAACTGTCGTAAAAATATAAATTCACTGCTATTACCACTATAGTTTTTAGTTATTCTTATTTTTAACGCTAAGTCCTTGACCGATAATGTATTCTCAACGAAAGCAAATTTTTTCTATAAGATAAAAAATATGCTTAAATATTTTACCCATTCATAATAACTACAAACATATCCAATACATTTTCATTAACATATTCATCCATAAATGATACAGATGCATTATACTGTTTTTGGATTTATTTTTGAATTAATATTTTAAGTATATTTACTTTAATATCCAAATTTTATCGTTTAAATTTTCGATTTTAAAATAATAAAGGTTTTTACTATTAAAAAAAAAAAATTAATTATGTGGGCGTAATAATTAATTTAGTAATACTTTATATTCATAGTTTTAGATGTTTCGGTAAGATTTAACTTTTTCAAATGTTCATCTCCTACCAATATTAAACTGCACTTTTGTAACGCACATACACGTATATAACTTTTAACAATAAGCCCATTCAATGCAGCATTATAATACATTAAAACTGAGACCATTATATTATGCTAATAACCGTACTAGTAGATGTATTAATTTAGTCATTGTTTTCGTTTAGATACCCTTGATAATAGTTAAATAGTTAAATAGTTAACAGTTAAGACTAGTTTGCTGTATTATTTATAATTAAAAAAAATTGCATTAATATTTGCTCGTTGCTCCATTTAAGATAATTTTTTAGTTTTTGATATTATTATAATAATAAACTATTTGTCCACGGAATTAGATATCAAAAACTTGATGTGCATTTACAGAGGAGTATTATACATAATTTTATTTTAAAAAATTACCATACCCTAGCATAAGAAACTTAACTATGGTCAATTTATGATAATAATAAGGTATGAAAGAATGTAGAATTTTATATATCCAAACACAAAATAATTTCTTTTTCTACAGAAATTTGATCACGAAACGAATGTTAAGGTACACACAATCACAATTCGTAGTACAATTCGTATTTTTCGGACACGTATCGCTTTTATGATCGCAACCCCGTGTAGGTACGGAGTTCGATCGTATAATAAGTTGCTGCTTTTATACTCTAGCACACACACTAACACAAATATAGTCATAATATATATGCGTAAAAGGTGTAAAAATCTAATTTTACCCGTGAGAAGTTTTCAATGTAGAAAAGATGCTCGAGCTGTTATAACGACATCTTAATGCACCCACCTTGATATTAACATATGATAGATAAATGATAAAAAACCGAATTATGTTTTTCGCGTGGATATGAATAAGAGCGCATAACGTCGTAATGCCACCACATATTCTGTAATGTGACTGACTCGGAGCAATCTCATAAACGTAAAAATAGCGATTCACCGTCATCTAGAGAGTACCAAAAAGGTTTGACGGGAGTAGTCGTTGTTATTATTATTATTATTATTATTGTTACACACGTACAGTGATATGCATTGAATAATGACACTCTGACCGAACTAGAGTATACATAATAAATAATTTTCTTCGTCAAATGTTTATTTCTTGATGTCATACATAAATCAGTATTATCGATATTTCAAGTCGATATAGTATAATGATTATACGAACTGACGACTGTGTGAAAAAAAGATGTTTGTTTTTTCTAAACGTAAGGTTCAAATCTCATATGCATCGTTGGATGAATAAATAAACATTATTAGATTTAAGTAGACTGACTGTATAATGATGATAGATGTTTAATAAATAATTTGATCATTTTTTTCAACATGTACAAAACTATGTAAATAATATCAAATATTATCCTACAATCGTTTCTGTTTTTGTTCATAAAATTAGTTATTTTGTTTTATCTCTTACCCTAATTTTTTACCTAGTGAAAAATTTCAAAATATTTGCGTCCTTTAAATTTTTAATTTTTTATATATTTCAAATGTTGGAATACATATATTATGATTATTTTCATTATTATTTCCGATAGTAGAACCACTCAATTTACATTTTAAACCTACCTTTTTTTACGATGATCGTCACTTTTAATATTAAAAATCGATATGATTACTACTAAAAAGAAAAAAATACACCCAAAACTAGTATCTTATTGAACACTTTTTATTATTATTATTTTTTTTTATAGAAGTTTGACTTGTTTTTTTGTATTAAATAAAATAACGGCTTATATATGGTATTGTGTTTTACAGCTAAAATATAAATAAAAATATTTTATTGCATGATAAAATCGAAAGTCCAACCAAATTATACTATATATCCTATACTAATATGATATCCAATTCCTACATATTATATTACATCGATTTTTGTTAAGAAACTCTATAATGTGCGTACAGTTTTCAAGTTTATACCACGTTTACGAATAACACGTATTAGTAAAATAAGTATATTAAAAATTAAAATATATAATTTTTCTTTTATTCACTTAATGGTTTAATAACGTGTTGACCTATTTAATTTATAATTTGATATTTAGTGTGAGATGAGTTGACACAATTTGTCCTAAAAAATGTTTGCAGTCATTTTGGCATATATGATTTATGAATTCAAGTATATACAAACAACGCATGTGTGGAATAATGAATTCATGAATGCGCCACTGCATAGAAGTAACCATGCAGGAAATAATGACTATCAAAAAAAATCCCGTTGTTCTATATTGTAATATACCTTTATTACAATGTTTTTATAAAACGCGTCACATATTTTCACAATGAGATAATTAGGGCATATCACTCAAAATATAAGAGTTCGCAAATTTACCTCACACAATCAAATAAAGATAAAATAATAACTGCTATGATAGTTATACACGAATGTGTTTTATAAAAAAAAAAGATTATTATCAAAAAATGATTAACATTTTTTTAAATTTTTACTTATGAGAGCATATCCATATTTCTCACCAACAAAACAGGAAAAATATATCGAGATTCGATATACTAACATACTTGTAAAACAAATAATTTCTTGGCTAGTATACTTTCTAAATGGTTGTAATGATTGAATAATTACTTCATCAGGCTACTCATCAAAAAATCTAAAAAAAAAAAATGCAAGACATATAGTTATTTTATAGATACTCTCATTTACTTATTTTTACACAATTTTTATCACTCATTTACTTATAAACATATCAAATTAAGTCTGAATACTTTCAACTATTGAACTTAACTTTAAAATAAATTAAAAAATTATTTTAAATATGAAAAAAAAATCAATTAATACTTAAAGTACATATGTTTCTGAACTTAAGTAAATGTACAAATTACAACTTGCCATTTGATCTTATCACTAGGATTTTGAATAAATGAGTAAAGATTGAAGAATCGATTATTCCAATATTCTCTTTACTAAGTAGAAGTATTTTTTATTTCATATAACTCAGTTGAAGGCATCATTTCGGAAAAATATTTGTCAGTACAAGTTTTGTCTCTTTATTTTCTCATGTGTCATCTTAGAGGAAATAAAGTTTTCTTTGTAATAAATTGAGAAGTTTAAAAATAACAGTTCAGTTAAAATACCGCAGACGTATTGCATTATATTTATTGAATAAGTATAGGTACCTATCTATATTTGTTTTCGTAATTTTCAAAATGATTTTCTTAAAATAAAACAACGGAAAAGGGATTCAACACTACACTCATCATTTGTGAATGTCTATATAGTCGATTAAAAAAAATATTATTTAATTTATTTAGTCAATTAAAAAAACCTACCCATTTTACAATTAAATATACTATTTAACACATTAAGATAAATTACCAACAACAAAAGAGTTGAAACAGTAAGGGAATTGGTTAAATGAAAATAATAAATAAATCAATCATTCAACAACGACGATATTTGATATATAATTTCAGTTTCATTGATAATTATCAAAACAAAAAATTATTGAGTTTGAATAAACTATTATTTTTTGTTATTGTCATATAATGTATCATTAATTATCCAGTACTAATACCACGACAATGACGACGATGATAATATACAAGTATATAAACATGTATAACGTGACATAACAGTAACAATTTCGTGTTTGTGCATGCAATTTTATACGTGATATTGATTTCATATCTAATATATTATAAATCTATTATTACTAAAAATAATTATACATGTAATTATAATCTATATAAGCTAATTATAATTAAAGATCAAGTTCTAGAAAGAAAAAGTTCAAAAAGTGTTTATAGTTAGTTTGAAACTTTCATGGGTTAATAGAGTATCATTCCTTTCCTAGAATATTTTCGTGTATGCAGTAGTGCACCGATGTTTCGAATACGCCAGAACTATAGAAATTGGAACATCTTCAAAGCACGTGTTCCCAGGGCCATCGATGTTATGAAAGCAATAATCGCTTAGTTGTTTCCGATCTGTAATGCGTTATCGCTGACCGTGATATTGTTCGACAATTTTGTGCGCACACGCTGCTTTCTCTTTTGTACATTTTGTCAAATAAAATAAAATCAAGTAACTGTGTTGACATTTTCATAACTTGACAGTTATTATGTAATAGATTATCGACTAGGAAATATTGGTCAAGCAGAGATATTAATAATGCACGGTGATTGCCAATTACAGAGTTATTAATTACCATGTAGGTACTACGAATGATTATGTGCATATTTACAGTCACGATGACTGCAACGTAAAATACGAGTTTCAAAAATTCTCTAGAAAACCATAGTTCATCAACGTAGGTGATCGATATAGCGTTTACAACGACCTAAACAGGTAGTTCTTTACAACATTTGATCCCCCACTGAAGAGTTTATTTCTGAATAGAATTGAAAAGCTAAAAAAAAATATTAAAAATTTATCTCCCCAGCCAGTACGCTGATAACAATTGTTGTTTACGTGCGATCAACAGGTGTCTCACCCGTCGTACTTGAGCGTGGACGACCGGGAATCGGACTACACTTACAACGACTTGTCGGAGGAGAAGAAAAGGACGGCGGACGACATGGGCCAAGGTCAGCGATTCGCTTTCGGACTGGGCAAGCGGGGTGCGGAGTGGGACGACGACGGTAACACGGCACTCATGTGGCACCCGGCAGTGAGGCGGGCTCGTCTTCAGTACGGCTTCGGTTTAGGCAAACGATCCGATGACTACGACGCGACGAGTAGCGAATACCCGGATCCGCAATTGGATGATGGTGACATCAATTAAAAAAAAAAAAGAAATACAATAAGAAGAAAACCGAAAAATAAAATTTAAAAATAAAAACATAATTCAAAATTCGAGAATTTCCCTTCTAAACAATACATATACACACACGCATCTGCACAAACACAACACATACAAACGCACACATATGCAGTCACACACACACACACGCGCGCGCGCGCGCACTCATAGACTATATGTAAGAGAATAAAAGGTAACCAAAAAATATTACATACATATTGCAGAAGTGTATAATAATAATATTAAATAAACAAGTAATACAGTCCGAAGATTATTATTATTTTTATTATTTTTATTATTTTTTTGATGAACATTAGAAGAGTTTTACAATGATAATAACAATTACGACGACAACGGCGATAGAGATGATGTTCACGTCACATAAACGTGACAATTATCAATACCGTCGAGTTTATTACAATTATTATTATTATTTTTACTATAAATATTATAATTATCATATACTGTTACAACTATATTATTATATTAGGTACGTAATATGTATTATTTTGTCGATTTTCGATTTGTGTTACACCGTGGATTTCGAAATGTTTAAAAATACAATATTAACAATATCAACTGTATCAACATACCTCTTTCACTTTTTCTCTATCCTATAAATAAAACTATAAATTCGCTGTAGTTTTAAAAATAATATATTATGTGCACCTTCACTTAAAATTCACGTTTTGACGTTTCTGAAAATGCAACGCGCTCTCGACAGTATCACCGATCCACGCGCTTTCACGTACCTATTTTGCCTATCTCCAACGCCGTTCCACGCATAACTGTCGACCGCGATTATTCCCATCACTTCAGGTCATTACATAAAATTTGTAATTTTTCTTACTACACACTAAATTTAAAATAAATGTATTGAAGCCTATGACATAATTTTCGAATAAGGATTAGTCTTTACATCAATTTAAGTTTATCATAGAAATAATGTATTTTTTCTGTATTTATTATAAACTAATTAAACGATATTTATGTACACAAGTCACTGTATTTTTGCGACTCCTATGAATAAGATTTAATTACACATTTTAAAATTTGGTTATATACAATTTACTTGCTGTGCTACACAAAGCGCATCGATAGCACTCATAATTAAGGTCCTATACTTGAGTGCTGCACCTTATATATTACACGTGTAGTGAGTGTACATCATGTAAACAAATTAAACAACGCGTGCACACGGTATGTACACTAAAGGCATTATTTCGGTACAAAAATAAACTCAATTTAATCGATGTATTTTAATATTTATCATAATTTGCTTGTGAACTATAATAATCGTAATAGAGCATTTTTAGATTCCAGAATTCGAATGATGTAAGAGATTTTCAGGAGCGGTTAACGTGTTCACGGAGAACAAATCAAAATCTAAATGTCAACATAACATTCATAACTAGCGTAACGTATACTGATATAAAAAAAATTAAGCACCAGTAAAATTATAAAATACTGAATGAAACTGTTTTTTTTATTTATAGAAGTGAATGATATAGAGGAAATAAGTTCCTCGAATAACATCAATTGGTATGAGTAGAGATACTGGTATACGTGCGCATACCTTAAACGTAAAATATCTTAAATATAGTTATTTTATTGCATCACTCAGTGCGTTTTAACTTAATAAAACAACGTGTCGCCATCGTATACATTACTCGTATTATATTCATGTCAGTTCGAACATAATATTCATAAATAAAAACGCACATTTATATTATTATTATCATACACATTCACATCCCAAAGTTCCGTATATTATGTAATTTTGTTTTTTTTGATTTTACATTTTTCCTCCTTCAAAGCATAATAAACCAACCATGTTTTTTTTTTACTGGAACAACTAAGGGATTTAATAAGTTTTACTACCACCGGGAACAGAATTACGAATTAAGAAAAAATAGAAACATACGATTATTTTATATATATATATATATATTTCTATTGTTGTGGGTTTACAATTATATTTATTAACTTAATAATAACCAAGAAACAACGATTCAAAGAAAGAGGCATAGAGCGCTGCGTTTCAGTAATATTTAGAAACGAGTAACATGCACCAACAGCACCAAACACCCCCAGTTCAACTAAGAACGGGAGACTCAAATCAAGATGACCAAGAACAATCTGCTCCACTTTACCCAAAGTTTTTTTTTTTTTTTTTATTAAAAAAGACTTACAATCTGTATTTGAAAAACAACACAATAAGTAAATAAAAAATGTATACAATATTATTACATAATGGAATAGCTTGATGAGGGAGGCTATCCATTGATAGAACCCTTCAGAGCGTGATTTAAATTAATTTAGGAGGTCGCGACACCAACGTCTTTTCAAACGGCGATGAGGGTTTTTGGGTAGTGTACGCAAGGATAAGTGTAAGATGAGTGAGTTTTGATGGTGTTGTAATTTTGAATGAAATTTTGTATAGTATTTTTTGACTATTTGGTCTACTGTATCTATTTTTAAGTCCTTATGTAATTCCTTATTAGTTATGTACCGAGGGGCTGAAGCAATAAGACGAAGTGAGATTGATTGGAAGGAATGAATGGATTGAGTTTGGGATGGTTTGGCGTAACCCCAGATTTGCATATCGTAACCCCAGATAGGCCTTAATAGAGATTTGTTTAAAATTGTTTTATTGTGGATTGATAATTTGGATTTAAATATCGGGCGAAGCATATGTAGACGGTTATTTAGTGTTTTGCTTTTAAGTGGAGGCCCCAGGTTAGGCGTTGATCAAGTTTAATTCCTAGGTATTTTATCTGTGAGGTTGTGAAGAAGTCCACTCCTTGCAATTTCAGTGATGAAGAATCTTTTTTACACAAAGTAAATACTACATGGAAGGATTTTTCCGGGTTGATTTTGATTCGCCACTGGGTAACCCAGGTATTTATTGGATCATGATGGATTTACAGGTCTGAAGAAGTTAGTATGGGGTCTTTATTGAAAGAAAGTATAGCCGTATCATCAGAGTATGTTGCTGTATTAGCTACTTTGGGAATGTCTGATGTATATATGTTGAATAAATCGGGGGCTAGGTCACTCCCTTGGGAGACTCCGGCTTGTATAGGGTAGTATGAGGAGATCGAGTTTCCTTGTCTGACTTCAAATAACCTATTGCATAGGTAGGAATGAATGATTAAATAGTAGGGCGCTGGAAGAAAAAGTTTTAGCTTGTATAGGAGCCCGATATGCCAAACTCAATCGAACGCCTTTGCAAAATCTAAAAAGACTCCCGGGCAGAATTCCTTATTTTCAAATGAGGTTGCAATTTGTCTGAGAGTCTATGAATTTGATTTTTTGTTGTGTGATTTGTTCTGAATCCGAATTGTGAGTTAGGTATTATGTTATGGGATCTAATTATGAGTCTAATTCTTTTTAGTACATTTTTATCGAATAATTTTGCTAGTGTTGGGAGAAGACTTATCGGCCTATAAGAGGTTGTTAAATTTTTATATTTCAGAGGTTTGTGTATCAGGATTATTATAGAGAATTTCCACGTTAGAGAAAAATAAGAAAGTCCTAGCATCGAGTTATAAATTAATGTGAGGAGAATTAGTGTTTTGTTTGGTAGGTGCTTCAGTATTTTGTTTGAGATTAGGTCATAACCCGGCGACTTCCCTATTTTTAATTTATTTATTATATATTAAATTATTATATTATATATTATTTATTATATAATTCGTTTTGAGTTGTGTGCTTTATGAGAAGCGATATAGGCAATGGGCTGTCAAGAAAGTTTTTTATTTCATCTAAGTGCTCAAGATTGGGAATTATGTTGGAATGGGGAGTAAAGATTTTTGAGAGATGGTTTCCGAAAAGGTCAACTTTATCTTTATCTGAGATGATTGGATGACTGTTTGAGTCATTTAGAGGAGTAGATTGTTTTTTAACGTTAAGGATGTTATTAGTGAATTACCACAGAGAGCCGTCTTTTGTGTTAAGCGATTGATATTTTCCTAGGAAAGTTTTGATTTGTGTTTTTGTATTTGCTTTTTTATTACATTGGTTAGACTGTTTAGTATGTGTTAATCGGAAGGTAGATTGTGACGTTACCAACATGAATTTCTTTCTTCGACAAAAAAAAAAACCAAAAATGAAACGTCAAAATCGAACACTGAAAAAATATGTAAAGTATGTACGTGTCAATTTTGATATTTGGACGTCCCCCCCCCCGATGATTTTAGCGGTACTGGACGTTTCCCCCTCCCAGACTGAGACGGTTCCCCCCCGAAAAAAAAATTTTTTTTTACTTTTAATTATCGGTTAGACAGTTGGTTCTTTGGTTTTACCCCAGATATACGATCATCATATCAGTATCTATCGAATATAATCATTCACGTTATGGAGTTATAACTTTTATTACCCAATTAAATGGGTAATGATTGATAAACCAAACTCAAATTATCTAAACTATTTACAACATATATTGCCTTTAGGTCTCTTAGTAGAGTTCGTGATATTGTGCGAAGCGTGTAAATTGTTCATTCTTGTGTATTTCAAAATGGAAATAGTAAAAACTAAAAGAGGTGGTAAAAAATCATATTTGATGATTTCGTATATGTAAAATAATAAATGTGGAATAATAAATTTACAACACTAGTGAGAATTAATCATCCTAATATTTGGCTTTTTATTGAAGCTCTACAGATGAGCACAACTCAAGTGCATTAGTAAAAATATTAAACTATAGAGCAGGAACTTTTCGTGATAATTTAGGAACAGACGATAGGTTAAAACAATTATGTGAAAGTTTTTCAAATGATAATATTTTAATTTTTGTGAGCTATCTTACTAGAATAAGTTTGTGAAAAAGTTAAGAATTTTACTGTATACCACATAATATAATAACATATATTATTGTTTTATATATTATTAATATTTTTATTTTTTGTCCGGGGGGAAATTGTTCTGTTCGGGGGCGAAACGTCCATTTTATCGGGGGGGGGGGAAGGCATGGGGGGAGGAAAGTCCTAGATTCGTCAATTTTGTACACGTGAGTTTGTCCCGCGCACACGTACAATTATGTTGTGTAGAAGAATAAACTCGATAAAATAAATGCTAATCAAAACTAATCTATAGTCAATATATAGGATAATGTACCTACTACGGTTTATTGTTCGAACTTACAATACGATTTACTTTGTTTTCTTTTTCTCTTCAAATGAATATAAGACTTCGTCACATTGATGTATTTTATTTGCATAACAATAATCTACATGTTACGTTATAATTATAAATACCGTTGTTCATT